ATTATGATTGTTTTATGCATAGTTTTTAAACACTGTTAAATAAAAATAAACAAATAAATGTTTTATTATTATTATTATTATTACATATAATAAATTAACTTCTAAAAATTAATGATTAAAATCTGCAAAAATTGTATAAAATGTGCAAAATGTATAACAACTTACAATAACATAAAATAAAATAAATTAACAGCCATAGGTTCTACTACTACTATTGTTATTATTATTATTATTATTATTATTATTATTATTATTATTATTATTATTATTATTATTATTTATTTATTTATTTATTTTTTACATGTAATTACATAAATAAATTATGGTTTTGGGTTGAATGTCGCCCCAAATGCATGACTGACAGTCTTGAAGACTTTGAAAGCCTCCTGCGTCCTGCATCGGCTGTGTGTTTGGGTTTGCTCTATTACAGTAGATTAGTAGCTGCTCAACAAGACTTCAAAACGGCAAAACCGTGACCAAACACTACAAATAAACAATCATCCTGACCTCTGAAAGAAGCCAGTTTTAAAACGGTTACTCCGCTCATTTGGGTCGAAATCCACATCCTGAAACCTCACACGCATTCACCGCCTCTATAAAAGACACGATACTACACACACGTCTGAAACCCAGCTCAGAAACTACAGCGAGGGCCAAACCAAACAGACACAGACCCTTCAGGAATACAATGTGTGGGAGGAGAATAAAAGAGGCGAGCGTGCAAAGAAAGCGAAAACTTGAGCATAGAAATGTGCTTGACTAAACCCCTTCATTCAACCACAGAGAACTAAGTGGTTTTTACAGGATTTAGCGGCTTCTTCCTCAAACAAAACCCGAGAAACACCCTATTAGAAAACCATTAGCCTCTGAGACGAAAAACAAAGAGCTTCTCTCTGACGATCACATAAACAGCACAATCAGAACCAGCTCTGTGGTGAAGATGTGCTTTTGATCGCACACTGGCGGAGCTCTAAATGTGTGGAAATGCCAGAGAAGACTGTTTTGGGTAGAAAAAATGCTAATTTAGCAAACCCAGAGATTAAAAGCAAATGCTTTTCTGTTGGTTTGTCTGTTGGGTGCAGGACGTATTTCTCAGACGCTGTTGTTTATAGCTCAAAATACTCAATGCATATGTCATATTTCCCACCGTTCAGAAGTTTAAGGTCATTTTTTTTAAAGAAATGAATGCATTTTCATCAAGGATGCGTTAAATTGATCAAAAGTGAGAGTAAAGACATTTATAATGTTACAAAAGATTTCTGTTTCAAATAAATGCTGTTCTTTTGAACTTTCTATTCATCTGTGAATCCTGAAAAATAAAATGTATCACGGTTTCCACAAAAATATCAACTGTTTTCAACATTGATAATAATCAGAAATGTTTCTCGAGCAGCAAATCAGCATATTAGAATGATTTCTGAAGATCATGTGACACTGAAGACTGGAGTAATGATGCTGAAAATACAGCTGCGCATCACAGAAATAAATTACAGTTTAACATATAATCACAGAGAAAACAGCTGTTCTAAATTAGAATAATATTTCACAATTTTACAGTATTTTTAATCAAATTAATGCAGCCTCGGTGAACAGAAGAGACGTCTTTCAGAAACAAAAATCTTACCGACTCCAAACTTTTGAACAGTAGTTTATACCAGCGTTGCCTAAACTTCTTTGGAAAAATAAAAATAGACGTAAACGAGACAATAACTGACATACATTAAGAGTATATAAAGTGAACGTTTGTCTCTGAATCTCTCTGGATACGTGAGATTTGAGTCCATATTGAAGTCTGAGATATAGTTGAGATCTCTTGAGGAGGAGAGATTTCGGAGGTCTGTTTCTCAGAAGGAAAATGAGAAGCTAAAGCGCTTGAGATTAAAGAGCTTTATGATTTGTCTTTATGCTCTGATGTCCTCATGGCACCTTTTTCTGCTTAACAGTGTGTTTATTATGAATTGGCCGCATTATAAATAGTAACTCTATCCAGCAACTTTTCCGCACTTCGACTGTTATTTTCAGCCGTGGCATTAAGACTTGGGCGTCACGCTCTGGGTTTGGATGAATCACGAAAGGCCAAATATTCTGACTTCATATTTTCTCGATGCCATGAAGCAGCAGCAAAACGAACATCTGGCAACCCACAATGATTTTACTAACAGCACCGAAACTATAAAAACCAAGGAGCATGCGTTTGTCACCTAATACGCTTTCAGGGTTTCGGCTGCGAGACGTTACCATGTTTCTTGATTTCATCAGCTGAATGTGAAATATATCGCATCCAGGTTGCATTCAAAAGCCACGAGTTCGTTCTGAACAGACATGACAGTGAAATGGAAATGAGCTGCATGTCGTGGGCTGAACTTCTAATTTCCTTTTACTCTGTTAGTTGTTTACCTTTTCAACTTTTATACCCTGGTAAAAAAGCATAAGCTGTTATTTTTGTTCCTTAGGCGTCCAATTTTGGTTCCACTGAAAGAGAAAAAGAAAAAAATAGGGGGAAATAAACACAAGCTTAACTTTGGGAAGTCTGAAGTGAATTAGCAGCTCTTCTCTTACAGTCTTTTTGATTTGGTGATAAACTTAGTTTTCCTTCCCACATCATTCCAGTTTTATATTGTTCACATCTTTTATGTGGATTTTTATTATTATTTTAAAATATGCACTAAACCTTACAAAAATATGCTATTACTATTTAAAACACCATCATTGTTTGAATTGCCTTTGAGCACCATGTAAATACAGTAGTGTGTGTGTGTGTGTGTGTGTGTGTGAGTGAGTGTGAGTGTGTGTGTGTGTGAGTGAGTGTGAGTGTGTGTGTGTGTGAGTGAGTGTGAGTGTGTGTGTGTGTGAGTGAGTGTGAGTGTGTGTGTGTGTGAGTGAGTGTGAGTGTGTGTGTGTGTGAGTGAGTGTGAGTGTGTGTGTGTGTGAGTGAGTGTGAGTGTGTGTGTGTGTGAGTGAGTGTGAGTGTGTGTGTGTGTGAGTGAGTGTGAGTGTGTGTGTGTGTGAGTGAGTGTGAGTGTGTGTGTGTGTGAGTGAGTGTGAGTGTGTGTGTGTGTGAGTGAGTGTGAGTGTGTGTGTGTGTGAGTGAGTGTGAGTGTGTGTGTGTGTGAGTGAGTGTGAGTGTGTGTGTGTGTGAGTGAGTGTGAGTGTGTGTGTGTGTGAGTGAGTGTGAGTGTGTGTGTGTGTGAGTGAGTGTGAGTGTGTGTGTGTGTGTGTGTGCGTGTGTGTGTGTGTGCGTGCGTGCGTGCGTGCGTGCGTGCGTGCGTATATATACAAAGCTGGGTAGATTACTTATAAATTGTGGTCCATTACTGATTCCAAATTATATGACAAAAATTGTAGTCAGTAACTTAATCCATTACATTACACATTTTAGGTAATATAATCAGACTACTGTTTGATTACTTTTAGATTACTTTTGACCTAACTCGTTTATCACATTGATTTAAATAGGCTAATCTTGTACCATATTGATTTAAAAATGCAAAGAAAAATAAAATATATTCCATTTGTTATTATTGACAACATATAAAGTGCATTAAACATACATTACGTCAAGGTTTCCCAAATTGGGATTTTTGAAGGAACTGCAGGGGGTTCGTGAATTTAATGAAAAGCAAATAATTAATTAAATCATAAACATTTTATATTAAAATAAATTTTTAAAACAACAACAATGAAAATAAAACACTTACTAAAAATATTAAAATATATATTTGATTAATTTGTGTGTCATGTGACCATTAACCAATGTCAGAGAACGTCAACATGCAAATGTGTTACTTAATTATTAACTTATTACCTTAAAATCTTACCTTAAAAAAGTAAATATTAGGTGAAAGAGGTTCAGATGACAAAAAAAAGTTTGGGAATGCCTGCATTACGTGTAAATAATAAATAACGTGAATTTGTGCATTTTAATGTGTTTGAAAGACAAAAGCCTCCCAGAGACATAGTAATGCATGGTTAAATAACCTAATAATTCAAATAAAAATGAATGTGTTCATCAGTAGTTGATGCAAACGCTGAGAAAACACTTTTTAAAATTGAAATGAGTTTTGTAAATCCAGTGGTCAAATGCTGTGTGGCCTCTCAGTTTTCTGTATAATTATAGCCAGCTGAATGTGTCTTTGTGTGAATGGCCACAAAACTGGAAAACTTTCTGAGTGTATGTAAGCGGTAGGCTATTTAGAAAGGAACATTTAAAAGATAAAAAAAAAAAAAGAATTAGAGAGAATCAATAAATGTATTAATATATGAATCAATTAATTTATTGCTATTGTGTTAATATGTATACTCAATAAAAAGGTAACTGTAGTCTGATTTAGAGTATTTTAAAATGTAATTTAATCTACTTGCGAGTACTTGATTTTTGAAATCTGATTACGTAATCCAGATTACACCATGCATATGAATGCTATTTGTCTCATGTTCTCCTCCTCAGTCTGTTTGGCATCTCTCCTGTGGTTCAGACGGACTGCTCTCACACCTGGATGTTCAGAGTCAACCCTGATCTGGAGTGGCACCACTTTGTCAATCCCATCATGCTCTTGGTGCTGTATTACACTCTGGCCACGCTCATCCGCCTGTGGCTGCAGGAGTCAGAAGACATGGTCAGACTTCAGTCTTATCTGTTTATCTGATTTGATCTAGTCCTCATATATATATGAAGAGTTTGGTTCCAAAACGCTATAAATCCATTTGGATTAATTTGAGTAAAAATGTGTTTTCTTTACCAAGAAAGTGGCAAGATGAAAACCACTATTTTCTGTTTCTAACTTTCACATAGCATCTTTAGGTTAGTTAAACATAAAAAAATTTAATCCAGATTTTGATTTTCAAAGATTTATTATAAAATGTTATAATTTTTTCCCCAAAATGCAATAAATCCATGACACATTTTTTTTTTTCTTTTTTGTTTTTTTTCCAAAATGCAATAAATCCATT